ATTATAAATGCTAATAAAAAATGAAAGGGAGTGAAAGACACCTATCTAAGAATGAAAATAAAGGAGAATTATATAGAATTACTTACTGCCTGCACTTCTTGCTCCTCTCTCTTTGAATAGTAGTCTTGCAAATTTGCACCCCGATCCCACTGAGCTCCATGACTGCCACTGTTTCCAGGTGCTGCACTTGGGCCATTGCCTACCACATGGAAAAAAAATAAACAAAATAAAACACATTGTTAGTGGTGGAGAGGTATTGCCTGGCAATCTCAACAGGACATGACCAGTCCCTCAGATCTCACACATTCATTCACACCTCTGCCTCAAAACTACAACTTCTGTCTTCTGTCTGCAGAATTATGTTGTTTGGGAGAAAAAAACTCACCCAAATCTATATGCATATGTTACATCCACATCCATGTCAATTACAGTTTTCACAGTCCTACCTGTTTCAGCCTCTACGAGCAAATGTGGAGGAAGAGGTCCACCCAAAGTAGAACTGGAACCAGTAACATCCCTCGCTGCTTCATGTCCATCAGGGGTATCACCAGCTGCTGGCTGGGAGAGAAAATGGAGGGAAATATCAGCATGTCTGTACAGAGCGAGTCTTTTCACTGTTTAGCTAGAAAACTGTTCAAGCAGTTTAAGGAGATCAGGCATTATTATACAATCGTTACCCCCAGTAGTAACAGCAATAGTAACACCCTTTTAAAAACTGAAAGGAATACAATTGCTGAATATTTGGCTTTCTGTGGGTGTTCTATAACAAGATTTTCAACCAGCAATTAACCCTGACTTACTGAAATTCAGCAATCAAAATCAACTGGTTTAGCACCCAGGGTAAAATAGCAGATTTGGGTCCCTATCGCATATCCAAGGGAACTCAATTATACTTTATGAACACACAAAAAACCACAAAAAGTTGTAAGAAAACATTAATAGCCTTATAGGAAATGACAAAATTATGGTTAATCATTACAGTTTTATTTCTTCCCATTTTGAGAAGTGTACATTTAGCTAACCACTCACACCACCTCTGCTTTATTCAAGACATAGAACTTTTCAGGATCTAGCCATGCAAATAACTGGTATATCAGAAACACTATTGGTCCATAGGGTTTCACCTAGGCTAATGAGGCAGGGACACTGCTTCCACTGATCACACTATGTATTTCAGACAAATACATCCTTAATGAGGCACTAGAAAAAGACTCTTGCAAGGTATAACATGTAGCTTCATGCTTTATTTACTGTTCTCTAAAATTGCTGTGAAGATGGAGTTACCTTCCTCCTCAGATTTTGTGTGAAAGTCATGCCTTATACTTGCATTGTTCATAAAACATCATCAAAAGCCATGATCCTGTTACACACACAAGGGGGTAAGGCAGAAAGCCTTTACCATTAAAAAATGCCAGTTTTCCAATGTCTGATTTGAGATGCCTGTGATGTTTTTTATCTCTTTTTTTTAAGTACACAGTATTATATATTATAACATGCATTTAAAACAATTCCGTGTCAGGTGTGAGTACTCAGCACACTTTTTAAGTCAAACTGCACTGTACAGGGACTTTGAATTCTCACCAGTTATGCAGGCCAACACACAGCTGTTTTTACCAGATCACCCCACAACATTCCCTGTACGTATTCCGGCTTTCTTGCATTGCAAGAAGCCCAGCACTTTCAGTCTTCTTAGCACACGAGTGCCAGACTGAACTCCAGGGATGAAATGCAGTCAGTTGTACAGCACCGCAATTAAAGATTAGCCTTCGGTAAGGAGAAAGAGCAGCTTACTCCAAAAGCAGGGATTTCATCTCTCTTCATTGCATTCACCCGAACCAAGTAGTTGACAAAGTCTCGAGCAGCGTTGCTCTGCGCATCTTTCTTGTTCGTGGAATTGCCCATGCCAACGTAGTCAAAGCCTTCCACTCGCACCTGCAAGTAAAAACACAGATCTGTGGCACATACAAGGGAAAGCATCTTGAAAACAAATAATACTGAAGCACCCAATATCAATTGCTAATAAGTACAAGAGAAATATTATTACTAAGTATAGTTACATATCATTATACTTTCTATACATTTATATTTCTATATGTTGTGAATGTATACTTTACACCTATTAAAGAAAACACCCACAGTCCATTTTCAGAGAGCATGAATGTTTCCCAAAACCTTGCTGAAGAAAACAAATCCGTGTAGGAAAGGATACTGCCAACACACAGGAGCAAACTCTGCCCAGGTTCACGTTCCTCAGCCTTAACCCCAAACCCTCAGCCAACAAGGACAGGAGCTGGTGTGTCCTCTACTGTAGCTCCACGTTATTACAGCTAGCAAGATGCAATGTATTTCATAAACTTAGAGACACGCTTTAGAACAGCAATTTATACCCTGCTAGCTTGCCTGACAGGGTGCTTCAACACTTGATCGTAAAAAATTTATTAAAAATTCAGGCTAGCCAGACATTTTACACTCACTTCTCTGCAACCACTGCCTCTCAAAGTTATTTTTTTCTTTTCACATTTACAGTCAGCAACTCTCTTTCATTTCAGCTTCATTTGGATAGACCACTTACGCATTTCTGATTTCCAGTCTTCACTCTGCTGGCCATATGAACAGCTTTTTACTATAGTTAGTTGTTCTCAAAAAAAAAAAAGTAAGCAGACTTGCACTTAATATTCCAGCTAGCCCAAACCAGAGCTTCGTACACCCCTAATGCCAGACTGCATTTGTGCTTCAGTGCTGAACTGCACCAGTAGCTAATACCCATTTCCTCATCAACATACAAACTTTGCTAGTAATTTGCTTAACAGGCTGCACATAACAAGCTCCCACTTTCAGCAGACTATCAGTCCACTAGGACTGATACTGTATGGTATCACCAACCAAACAGTTACCATGCGGAGTTCACAACCATCACACCATACTGTGAAAATTACTAAAAGAGAATGTTTTAGTGACATCTATCTGTTCATCTGTTAAGTTTCTACAGATGCTCAGGAGGCATCCACATACCCAACAATGTGACTGTCCATGCAACCGCTTCATCTGAGCAATGCTCGATCTCAGCTACAATACCTTTAGAATTGGTTTAATATCACTGCATTTCTCAATTTTGTTACTGGAGGGAAGACGAAGGGGGGAGGAAGAGTATAACCACAGACTCAAGCTGCTGAGTGCAAATCTATGGCATCGCTTACAAACCAGGACCTCAGCAATGCCTGGAGCCAGGACCACCACAGGATAACGGTGCCCAGACTGGCAGCCAATTTTTTTTTTGTAACATCTCTCAAGTTCAGCAGATGACCAAAAGTTTTACAAAGGTGGCAAGCAGCACCCCTTGTTGACAATTTTACACTCCAGAAGGGTCCCAGGCAATGTAAACACACACATCGGTCTTAGGGAAATCTACCCTTTTTCATTGTAGGAGCTTTGTAGTAAGCGGCTTTACCTTACAGACGCTCCGAGCACATTTTACACCACACAAAAGAAGCTTGGATGCTGTGAAAAACGCATTCTCACCACGCTTTGGCCATGAAGCGGCCAAGCCTCCCGCCACATGGCCCCCCCAAGCACCCCTTTCGCCCTCAGCTTCCAGCGCCCTCCCACCCTCGGCAGGCCCCGGGCAGGCCCCGCACCTCGCAGAGGCAGGTCTGCCGGCTCCGGCCGCCGCCCGCGCG